GGAAAAGGGGCAAAGGGTTCCCACATTTATATACGAAAAACAGCTTAAATAAACGAGTCCTATACTTCGTTCTTTAAAATGTCAGTATTATATAGTACCTACAAGAGTTCAGATATCTTTTAGAGTTTGCTTTTGATCATTGAACAATCTGAACAGATGATGGGATGGATAATAAAGTGAGTGGCAATACAGTATAATATAGTCAATTCTTTAATGATATGATAATTTGAGCACGCATTAATTTAAGAAATCTTGTCAATGAACCAAGGCAAACTTAGAGTCCATAATTGATTTAATTCAAGGTAATAATAATAAAGGTTTAAAAATATTTATCTTCCAACATTCCTCCTTATTTTAACTTGTGTTCTTAAGTTACCCCATGTTTGAAAGTTCATTTTTTTCTTTATGAAGAAAATATTGTAAATATTTTTACAAAACTTTGTTCCATAAACTCTTTGGAGTCTCGTGTGGTTGGAGAATTAGTTTAACATATTTAAAATAGTTCATTTTTTTCTTTATGAAGAAAATATTGTAAATATTTTTACAAAACTTTGCTCCATAAACTCTTTGGAGTCTCGTGTGGTTGGAGAATTAGTTTAACATATTTAAAATAGTTATTATAATAAAATACTTAATTAATTATAGTTCTTTATTATCCATTACAGTTTCAATTTGAATGACTAATTATACTCTAAAATTATATTAATGAATGAGCTAATCAAGATTAGTCCCCATAAATAATTATTTATAATTAATTAGTGATTAGTAATAATTATTCATAATTAAAATATTAATATAGTAAGTTAACTAATTAATTCATTTGTTTAGTAAACTTTTCTTTGTAAAAATGAATTAAATATATATTTAAACAAATTATTATTGATTTACTCTGATTAATAATTAATTTTGATAAACCAAGATAACTGATTGATTAATTAATTATGGATATGTAAAATAAAATCACAAATAAAAATGGAAAATAAATGAAGACAGAAGAAAACTCGAGTTTGTCAAAGAATTTGAGATGATGGAAGAAATTAAAACTTTAAAAACAAACATGGTCTTGGAATGCCTAAGCTCATGCCCAAGAAAATAAAAGAATTAAAAAATGAAAGAAAATCAAGAAAAATAAATCATTGAAGGAAGCAATAATACAAAATAAAAATAATAATAAAACAAACAAAAAAAAAAAAAAAAAAAAA